AAAATACCGTAGAACACTTGGGTGATTTTTCTTTAATCTGCCGGCAGTCATTTCTAAACAATATTGCTCTTCCTATAATACTGAGGAGCCCTTGGTGCTCTCTGAGCTTGGTTGTTTGCCGATGGTTCATTACCCGATTAGGTAAGTTCTTTGGTGCTGATGGGTGTGGGGTTTGCGACCTGTTCATACTGTATACAATAGCTTGCCCTGCTAGTGTTAGTGAAGTGTGGTTTTCTCCTTGCTAATCCTTGAAGGCTATTGTTTTCTGATTGATTGATTGTCAACTTGATTATGTGTCTCCTTGGTAGTTTTTTGATTAGAATATTGTTTTCTCCTTGGTTGTTTGTTTGCTATTAATCCCTGCTTCTCTGGGGATAGGCTACTGAAGAGGATGTGTTCTGTTTTTTTTGTTTCCTTCTTAATTTTTTTATTGTCTCTTTCGAATGGTATATAAGTGTGGTTTATCTCTACATGTCTATTGGTGGCTAATGTGTCTGAATGCCAGATTGCCATGAATACTCTAGTGTTTTTGGATTTAGCTTGGTCTAGGATGCTCACAGTTGCCCAGTTTAAACTATGGTTAAGTCTGTCCATGTGCTGTGAGATTGAGGTGTTTTCATTGTGCCTTCCTACTGTGTTCATGGATGTACTCTTGCTAGTGTTCTGCTTGATGGTCCTACATAGTAGCTGTTACCATCCTTACACTGTATGTTGTAGATAGCTACTGTTTTTCCTTCTTAGGATATTTTGGAGATTTTTAGTTGGTTTGCATGGCATAGTAATATCATGTGGTTGCAACAGTCTGTTGGTTATTTTTGCGATGTTTCTGATGCATGACAGCACTATCGTTTTTATAGTTTGTGTTGGCTGTGCTGTAGTGCATTGAACGGTCAGGCACTTTTTGATAAAGTTGAGAGGGTATCCATTTTGTTGGCAGCTGTTGTGTAGGCAGTCTGTTTCCTTTTTTTAATGTTCTGGGTTGGTACAATGTATTTGTGCTTGTCTGAGTTATGTTCTTACACAGCTCCTCTTGTGGGAGGTTGGGTTATTACTTTGGTAATGGAGCACTTGATTAATGTGGCTTTTATTATTCCTATAATAAGACATGGTAAATATTCTTGCCATGATAACACTAATGGACTCTTATGAAATAGTGATAAATATTAGTAATCATTTAGTGATGTTCTGCAATGCAGAATGCTACAGTAGTTAAACACATCTAACCCTGTAATTTTGTCTCATGAAATAATATCTCATGCTGGGAAATTTAGCTGATTTCTTAAATATGGTGTGAATTAGTTGATCTGATAGCAAATGGAATTTATTTTCTAGATATGATCTTGAGAATTAATCTCAGCCTGAAGAAAATGTGTTGTGACAAATAGATAAGCAAACATTAAAAATGAGAAATAAGAAAAATCCATAACTGGTCATATATTTATTGGGGCCAACCAGTTAAGCTTTTGTTTGGTGATTAGTCCCAGTGAAATTTTTATTCAGCTATGGATTTGGGATTTAAATTAAATATTTTCTTTGAATGTTCTTGAAATGGGATTAGAACAAACTGTTCTTTTGCCTTTGGAGGGAACTTGTGTCATTCATAACCTGCTGTGTTTGATAGAAAAAGGGATTTGCATCAAGGTAAGATTTTGAAGTAGTAACGAATGTTTTTATCAATGAATCAATTTCTTAAAAATGAATACATAAATAAAAACTTGACATTCCAATATACTCGGCTCCTGACTCATTCAGTTTTCTTTTTTGGAGCCTACTCGAAAATTAGTTTACTTGCGACAGGCACAGTGACCTTTGGACTCTTAGCTAAATATTTCTAACAATTTAACAAACAAAGTTTTCTCCAAATCATTCTAGGATTAGCCATTTCCTGTAAAACTCTCCCTAAGCATATCACTCTTCCTTTTTCCCTCCTGTTCTCAGGCTTTACTTCACATTAAAGCCATTCCATCTACAATGGATTCCTCCAGCTTTATTGACAATGATAATGAGCAACAAAGATAAATATTTCTTTGTCTTAGAGCAGGGGTCCCCAACCACCGGGCCCCGGACCGGTACTGGTCCATGGAACATTTTCTACCGGGCTGCCGGTTTGCTGGGCGCCGCCATCTTGTTTCGATGAGAAAGTGCTTCCGAGTGAGCTTTTCCGGTTGGAAAGCGGCATTTGGGTCCTGAAGGAATCCTCGCGCCTTAGTTTTATCGAAGGGGGGGGGCGGCTTTGAATGAAACTAAGGCGCGAGGATTCTTTCAGCACCCAAGGCAAGGCGAGCTGAGCGACTGTCCTGAAGCCGTCCCGAAGCCCATCGACAAAGGTACAAAAGAGGAGTTGAAGGTGGCGGGGAGAAGCGGGGGATGGCTGGCTGGCCGGTCACTCACCTCGCCTTGCCTTGTCATGCATGCTGATGCCGGTACCGGGCCGCGGATCATTTTGTGATGCCGGTACCGGGCCGTGGCACAAAAAAGGTTGGGGGCCACTGTCTTAGAGAACCAGAAAGAGATAGCAAAACATGAGGTAGCAAAGTAGTTATGTAAAATAGCCTATCCTTGTTTGATTGTAACCAGTGATGGAAATTATGTTTATGATTAACATAAGGGTGAGAGAGTTATCTGTCATTATATTCATGGGAAATAGGTCAAGTGTAGAGATACTAACTGTTCTGTGAATGAACTTTCTGGTTGTTGTTGTTTTTCCTTTTTAAAAAGACATGTGAGGACATCCATTGGAAGAAAAACAGAGAATATCTTAGAAACCTAAAACTGTGATAAGCCTTATTTTCTTATTTGGCTACGATTCCAGGCTTTCTGTTTAACTGTTCTGGGATGAATGAGGAATCCATTCTTTGTTTCTTCAACCATAATTACAAAAGACAGAAGAATGCAATCAAAATTATACCAGTCATTTAATGGGCTCTACACTTCCATGGGATCTCCAGGCCTTGATGACAAAATCAAGTTTTGAGGGCATTCCAGAAGACCAACAGGGTTGGGGCCAACCTCATCTCTGATGTTTAATTGATAAAATGGAGCCTATACCTTTGTTAACAATTTCTAAATTTTGGGTGCAGTTGTTCTAGAACTACTAAATTAAAAAGCCACTGATTTGTGACATTGCTGTTCTTTCTCAAAGGTGACTCTTATCACAGATACCTTTGAAAGATTGAAGACAATCTCTAACAAGCAGAGGTTTCTACCTTTTATCTTATCTTGAGCAAATAGTACAGATTGGTGAACTTGTAGTGTGCTGTACCTTCATTTTCAGTGGTTGTGATCACTAAAAAAAAGTGTTACCCAAGCTAGAAGCATTGTGTTTATCATTGCATTTATCTGTCTGATTTCTTTGCCTGAACATGTCAGCATAAAAGCTGTTTTGTAAGCAAGCCTCCACTTTCTTCAACTGGCTGTCTTGTCAACATTTTTTTGGTAGCCAGGAGCACATTTGAATATATCGTACCTAATCATATATCTACATGTCTTCATTATTTATTACCTAATTATTTTTTAGATTTATATCCTAGCATTCCTCTCGGAAATTTGTGGCTTATATGGGAATCCCCTTCTGCTGTTATTAGATTGCTGCTCATATGCTGAGCTTGTCAGCTATAAAGCTGACAGTCTGGGTTTGAGACCTGAGCATCTTATGACAGGGTGAACTCCATTCCTGCCCCAGTTCTGCCCACTTAGCAGTTCAAAAGAATGCAAATGCAACTAGATTAATAGATATCACTTTGGTGGGAAGATAACAGCATTCCGTGCGCCTTTGGCGTATTGTCATGCTGGCCACATGACAACGTAAAATGTCTTTGAACAATGCTGGCTCCCTTGGCCAAGAAACAAGATGAGCATCATACCCTAGAGTCAGACACAGCTGGACGGGGGAAACCTTTATCTTTACTATATATGGTGATGCCTTAGGAGGAACCCAGGTTTCTCTGGTTAAAGATAGATGTGAATCTCGTTCAGGACATTTATTACCCAGGTCTCCATTCCAACTTTTGATTAATATCTTACACTTGGCCAGTCTTGGAAGTATGTTCAGAAACTTCAGATAATCCAGGATGCCACAGGAAAAGCTTCAGATAGCACATGTCCTCCATTTTAAACAAGTTAATGTAGTGTGTTTCTTTAAACTTGTATAGGATTTCAAACTAGGCTATATAAAAAAAAAATCTCATTCTCCCATATAAATCCTTATGATTTATATTGACTGTTTCCTAGTATGATTTGACTGCTTATTGTACCCGATGACTATTATTAAGTGTTGTACCTTATAATTCTTGACTCTTGATGAAGGTATCTTTTCTTTTATGTACACTGAGAGCATTTGCACCAAGACAAATTCCTTGTGTGTCCAGTCACACTTGGCCAATAAAGAATTCTATTCTATTCTATTCTATTCTATTCTATTCTATTCTATTCTAT